TTCTTTTCTTTTTTTTTTAATATTCTTTTTTTTCCTTATTTTTAAAATGTATATTTTATATTGATTTCAGAGAGGAAGGGAGAGAGGTAGAAACACCAATGATGAGAGAGAATCCTTGATCGGCTGCCTCCTGCACGCCCCATACTGGGGGAGATCGAGCCCGTGCATGTGTCCTTGGCTGGAATCTAACCTGGGATCCTTTAGTCTGCAGGCTGAAGCTCTATCCACTGAGCCAAACCAGCTAGGGCCCAGTCTTTCTTTAAACTCTGCTCCTTCAGGGAAGGGCGAGGTGATGCAGCCCAGCCAGGGCTGGGAGAGGGGCATCCAGGGCCTTGGAGTCGCCTTGTAGTCGTCCCAGCCCCACCCGCTGTGCCCCCCTCCACACGCACCTTCATGGTTGTTTGTCCAGCCAGGAGGGGGAGGCTAGACTAGGTGTTCCCCGACCCAGGCCAAGGGTGACCTGGGGCGAGTGGGGGTCAGCCTGCACCATGCACCCCTGCCTCCTTCCGCTCGCACCCAGCCATCTGCAGGGAGTTGGTCAGGTCCCGTTCCTGCCTCTGGGCCCTGGCTGCTGGGCAGATGCGGTGGGGGGTGAGGGCGGGGGAGAGGGGAGCAGTGCCCCGCAGGCCCCCCTCCCGCCTGGAGCAGCAGGGCTGGGGGAGACACTGCCGCAGAGGGAGGTCAGGAGCGGGTTTCCCAGGCGGAGAGCGGGCAGGACGCAGGTGATAATAGTAACAACAATAGTAACCGCAGCGGGCCGCTCCCAGTGATGCTGTAGCCGGTGCCCTTCGGGGCCTCCTCCAAGGGGCCAGGCCTGTTGTTACCCTCAGTTCACGGAGCAGGAAGGGAGCACACACAGGTGGCAAGTGGCCGGGGCGGGATCTGAACTCGGGGCCCCTGGGAAGAACCCCATTAACTAACAACAGTTTCACGGGTGCTTTTCACGGCACCCCATCGTCCACACGCGAGAAGGAGGGCGGGCTTCGCTCCTTTGCAAATTAAGAAGTGGCTCTGAGGGACCCCCCGCCCACCTCCCAGGCCGCCGCCAAAATCTCTGCGTCCACTGCAGGCGCCGTGTGAGCCAAGATGCTGCTGCCCCTTGGGGAGGCTCAGTGTCGTCGGCCCAGAGGCAACGTAGGTTTTACGTAGGTCTGTCTGCCTTATGCTTATTTCTATGGCCTCTCCAGAGACACCCCCTGCCACCCGCCCCCCCTAGTCCCCGAAGCACCCAGCGCGGTCGTCCCCGCGG